TGATTTGGCGACATCAATCTGTCGTCGACGACATAGAATATCACCTGTTCAGAGAAGCCGCCACAGAAAACATCGGTTTCAAGAACTCCAACAAGCGCCATATCTGATCCATCGTACGTGCGTGAGATAACATTCGATGTTGGCACATAAGACAAGCGCATGCTCGAACACAGAGAGAGAGCTACCAAGCTCATTTCGGCACCTGTATCCAGCATTGCTCGTACAGGTTCATTCTCTTTACCTCCCAGCTGCAGAGGGATGTATGCCACCGGAGCGATGCTCCTATCTCGGATGCTGCTGAGAGCAGTCATGGAAGCCGTCACAGGAGGAAATGAGGATTTGTTGAAGGCTCGAATCATGTTAACAGTAGGCTTGACATAGCTAGGTTCAGCAACAAGAGACAAAGCTTGAACTGCGGGTGGTTGAGCCAGTCTCGAAAGGTACTCAGTAATGTCCCGAGTGTTGATAATCTGACCATCAATAAGCCCTTCAGGCTGGGAAAGCGTCGAGATTCCGGGTTTATGCTGCGATGAATTGGCTGATCCAGCAGTATCTACCTTGTGCAGGTCCGAGCCGGTTTGATTGTCGAGATCAACAACTTTTCGGGCTCCAGAGCTGACTCCTTGAAGACTGTGAATCAGACGGGCTCCCCATCCTGGTAACATGACTGTCATCTCCCGGCCTGAGACCTTCAACGGGTGGTCTAGGAACTGATTCAGGAGCTTGTCACTAATGGCCTGAACTGTTGGCTCTCTGTCCAGACTGTTGGATTGCTTGTTGGATTCCTCTGGTCCAATATTCCCGAAATGTGTAGGGACCTCAACAGTCCTCACACTTGCATCTCCTCCAACCTCACCATCATCATACCCAGCCTCCCCAACACGGCGCTTCTTTGCTTCACCCGCGTTTACCTGGGCTTGGACAGGCCCAACACCCACAGCATTGATGCTGGGAAGCTTTGGTAGGTACAGTTCGGCTTGGGCTGGAGTGAGATATGACTTCCCCACTTGAATCTCACCAGCATTGCTGAGGATCTCAATGTTGTTGGTCCTGTACTGATTGTTGCGTCTGGGAACGGGGTCGGTCTCTTCCCACAGTGTCTTATTCTTGGCCATCTCAGGGTCTCCACGCCATTTCTCGTCCTCTTGGACCAGGCTGACATATCGAGAGATCCAAGGATCCTCAACACCCTTCAGCCGCTGATCCTCACAGAGACCGAGGATCAGACGGATCATACCGCCTTTGGGGTTATCTCGAGCGGACATGACCTGGCCATATGACACTGGTTTTGACCTAGAGTCCAGAAACTCCGAGCGATTGCCAAGATGCCACTCTGGCTTCGCTAATGCTGGAGCATAGCAAATGCCACAGTCCATAACAGTACGGAGTTCCACGCACTCATGAGCTCCATGGGACTTCGACCCACAGCCGTAGCACCTGCGCAGAGTTCCGTCCTTCTTCAGGATTTCATTGATCTCCGCTCGCCATGCTTCAGAGTACTGCTCCCCCTCGTCCTCCGGACTTGTGTAGGTAACACCCATCTGCAAGGAATTTGCATTCCCCTGGGGAGGATTCCTCGCAGAAACAGTTTGGGGACGCCTGATCAGTTGTGAGATCTCCTGTAGAGCCTTGGTTTGGTCATACGAGACATCCCGCGTCTGTCTGAGAGCATCAGTCTGCAGCTTTAAGGATTTTGCCATTGCAATTTGGTCAATGCGGAGTTGCTCCATCATTGAAGCCAACTGGTTGTATCCTTGGTCGCTCTTCTGAGCAGGTTCAGCCTTCAAGATCTGCTTAGTCGGTTCAGGCTGAGCTTGCCAATCACGAGTTGACTGTTGAGGCGGTTGATAGTACGATGGCCCTACTGCTTGTCCCGACGGGTTCATCGGTTGACTGGGAGCACTATGCATCGGATGTGGAACAGGAACGGGCCGTGTCTGGTCAAGGACCGGCTGAGGTGGAGGCATAGGAGGACCTTGGAATTGAGCCTGTTGATGAAGTTGAAGGTTGGTAGCACCGGAGGCAAGTTGGTCTTGAGTCTCCTCCTGGAGTGCTTCACGATGAACCTCCAACAGCTTTTCCATAAGGTAAGGCCACTTCTTGTCGCTGACGCTTTCGGCAGTAACACCATGGTCAGCTCGGAGGCGCTTGATCCAGGTCGAAGGGAGCTTCATCCATGCTTCTGCCACAGGTTGACTGTCTCTGATCTTAAGACGAGTGAGAGCGTTGTCATAGTCCACAATGAACGACCAGAGGCTAGCGGCATCGGTAATGAAACGGTTGTTGATGATGTTCAGGCGCTCCTGCTCGGGGGTGTACGCCTGGAGATGGTCCCAAGGGCGATAAGCAACCAACAGTCGCTCCTTCTGTTCATCCCAAGTTTTGGCGCTTGTAGTGAATCTCTCCACTTCTCCGGCAACGATTGTGTCTGTACAGAAGCCTTTCATGAAGTTGAGTGCTTGAGTGTCATCAATCCCTTTGATCTGACGCCACCAGTCGAATCGCTTCAGCCACGAGGAGACTTCCACACGGGCAAACAACGTCAACCCACCACCAGCAAGCTCACTGTGGGAGGGGAACCTGAAGTTCTGACCATAGTGGTTGTTGGCCAGGTGGTCGGCCGAACTGGGTGTCTGATTGGAAGAGCCCTCAGACGTGGAGGCCATCTTCCCTCTTGGTTGTCGCTTCCTCCGATGTTTCTTTGCCTTCCTGGTTCGAGGTCCTTGAGTTGAGGGCGCCACAGCCGGAATGCCTTCCGTATCCTGCGGAAGACAATACTGTGGAGGTCGAGGGGGTTCAGGTGCTTGAGGGAGGTTCAGTCTGTGAGTGGAGCGTGCATGAGGTCTGTCTTGTGATGAACAACAAGGGATTGAGTTGGCTGTTCTGTGCTGCACTGGGATTTCCTTTATCAATAGTCCTGCCAACCAATGGAGGCATTTCTGACCAGGTGTAAGGCGTCGATTAAAGTTCGACATCGGATGATGTCGTCGTAATCCTCGACCTCTATTCCTCGTGTGCACTGACGGTTCCTCATCTTCACCTCCCTGTGTCCTTCGCTTTTGGGATAATGCAACCAGCAAGCTTTTGATCCAAAGGATCAATGTGGCCAGACGTGTCCAGGTAGAGCGTGCTGATCGGACCATCGCAAGGAGCACAGACCTTGTTAACCATGCCACTTTTCTCTGCAGAGTACCATCCACCAAAAGCATCCCACTCTGTAATTTAACCATGGACCCACATCCGACATGGTTAAACTTTCCGCTGCAGCCTGTACAGGTCTGAGCCGTATCAGCTTCTGTATAGGATCGTTGATTGATGTGGGAAATGTTGGAAAAAGGAATTCGTTTCTTCGTAATATTGGCCCGCGGGCTCAACGCATCGTTCACCGGCCCACGACCAGAACTCACACCACTCCTCCTCTGTCCACCCATCTCCCCTCTACGAGAGGTCTCAGGCATGACCCAGAGTCCAGACATGATGCACAGCCTGTCGTGTAAGCGTGATAGATAAAGGAAATAAAAGAGCTCAGCAGGGAAAAAGAGTGCGCCCGTCCATAGGGTAAACTTGCTGCTCTTACTGATCCTCACGAACTGTAACGCAAACAGCCCTGAGCTACCAGCCTGAACAGCTAAGTCCACACTCACCGCACCATTGAACCAGAACTAGGGCGCCGTCGCCCTCGAAAGAAAGAGGGACAAACAGCTGCCGAAGCAATGGGCAAGGGCTCATGCAACCCAAGCGTGCCTGTACAGATGAGGACAGCAAACTAAGGCCACACGGGCGCAAGAACAGGGTGAAAAACCTGTCTTAGACCTGTCCAAAGGGTTCAAAATTGAAAAGAAGAGAAAGGATGCTTGATTGTTGCTTATAGCTAAAGAATTTGAAAAGTGGGTGGTATCCTTTATATGTATGAGGACCCTTGACCCACTGTACTCCACGTCCCACGGACTACCACCCTGGCCACCACAACACTAGTAGCTAAGAGAGTATTATCCCTTATTCATATCCCTGATCATAATGCTTAATATAAGCAATGAAGAATAATAAAGAGTATTATTACTAAGCTCTTCTTCTAATGCTTGAATACTCTATTTCATAATATTAAAGCAGTTCGAGTTGCTACTCGTAGGGATGCTAAGCATATACTCTCATTCTGCTATTACTATTTGTTTGTAGCACCTAGGTTTCTAAGGAAACCATTCTGAGCCTTTCTTACTCGAGAAATATATTAAGCAGTTGTTATTATAGCAGAATGTTTAGCTAAGACTTTCGTAATTAGCAGAGTTCGATATTTGCTTTAAGAGAGTGTTTTTGCTCAGTTGATTGGATTCCTATTGTTAAGCAACATTTACTTAGCATTCTTCCTAAACTAATTGCTATTTATTCTTCTAGAATTGATAGCAGTTGCATGTAATATATTCTTATTTGTTACAATTATAGCAAGTAATGCTATTCCTCTTGCTATACTGCTTATTAGCAGCATTAAGTTCTATGAGACTAGCATATGTAATGCTGCTTTGAGCTATACTGCTATATTGATTACTATTCTTGTTTTAGAGTTTCTTGTTCGTATTAACTGGAAATCTCCAAGTCTAGCTTTCTCTCTTTTTGAATTTCTCTATTTATTGTTTATATAAACAATTATTAATGCAAATAGCTTAATTAGAAAACATTGCAAAGTTCTCTAGCTAATCCTATTTAGAAATTTCGTTTTTAACATCATTCTTGAATCCCTTATAATAGTATTTCATGAGATTCTTATTTTCCTACGAAAGTTATGCTAAGAGTTGCTTAAATCTAACTATATAAATAGAAGCTAATTTAGTCTGCTTGAGATTTATAAGCTGCTAAGCTATAATGCATTCTTTGTTAGAATTATTAAAAGTCTTTTTAAGAGCTTTCTTAAAGCTTTCAAAGAAATCAAATATATTCTTGGTATTCTGAATATATATATTGGAATTGTTCTAATGCTCCAAATAGTTGCATAGAAAAGGCTTGTATTAAATAAGAGCATCCTTTTTAAGGCAAGTTCCTGCAAGAATGATCTTCTTAGATTCCATAGTGAACTGGGTTGCATAATGCAAAAAGTATGCTCTGCAGTGAGTAAGGAATCCATATAGCGTTTTCTGATTGCTGTTATACATAGCGGGCTTGTTCATCTTGTATGCTTTTCTAGCACTACTGATAACTACAGAGGTGGATTATGCTTGCTGAGCTTATTGGGCTAGCTGGGCTTGCTGGTTAGCAATGATAGCGCTCTGAGCTTGCTGTTGTTTGCGCAGGTTCTGGATATGCTGGGTGAGCTGGTATATCTGGTTGATCAGTTCCTTCTGAGTGGGGGCGTATAAGAACGAAGAGATTCCTGGAGGAGCTATCGTGTTCCGTATTGCTCAAGGGGTAATACTAAACCGTTCTTGAACAAGAGTTGTTAAAATGTAATAAGCATTGCAGCAATCCAAAGATTCCTAAGTATACGAAGGGATTTATGCTAACAAGAGCAGTATCAAAATATCAAGTTCTTGAATACGGAATCGTATAAGTAATAAGCAATGCAAGTATTCACTGCTTTTGGAGCTACTCAGTATAGAAGACTGAATACTTAGATTGATAACTGAAGAGCTATGTATGATGATCTGTCTAATGATAATGAATGTATGATTATATATTCAGCTCTTCAGTTCCTGCTCACTAGTAATCACTCCGGATTACTACTAATCACTGAGCACTGGTGATTACAAGTGATCATTCTGTAATCTGATTGGCTGAGCTCTATGACCCTAATCCTGGATTACCTAATCGTTGATAGCTGTCCGACATTGGGTCGTAACACCTGGTCCCTTGTTGCTGAGGTTTGTTTCGTGATCTGCATGTTGGATGAGTCATAACATATTAGCAGAAAAGCTGGATTCGATAAAAGCTCCCTAGCAAGGAGAACTAGATAATAATATCCTCGAAGTTCAGAAAGCAGATTTAAGCAACAATGCTATATTCTGAATTCCAGATATCATTAAGCACAATTCCACGCCTAGCCAAACCAGTTCTAATCCAGAAACTATTAATCTAGCAACTAAAGCGGATAATGATGCTGAGAATGGAAATAGAGTTAGTAATAATAAATATTTCATACAAGCAGCAGAAAAGGAGAAGCAAGAATAGAAGAAAGCAAATAAAAGTGAGATATTTATATTAATTCTAACTAAATCAGCATTCCTAGCTCATAGAGAAGATTGATTTCTTTCTGTTTATATTTCCTTTTTATTTGCAAAATACATTTTCTTTTCATCTTTCCTATTCCATCTTATATATTTTGCTGGAAAAGGAAGAACGAAGTATTATCTGCTATTACTTGCTACAGAATACCATAAATCCACTTAAAAATTTCAAAGCATTCAGCACAGAGCATGTTGATCAGCTCTAAAGCTATTTTCATTATTCAAAAATTGCAGTATATTGGAATGCAATGTATGAAAAATGCAGAATGCTAAAGAAATACTGCAATTTATAAAAACCTCTTACTTTTATACATTATTCTCATTACCAGAATATCCATAAATATCATTTAATAGCTCTCTTCTTATTCTATTCAGATCTATATTATCTGTATTATCCGCTGAAGAATTATTATTAAAAATAGAGAAAGAATCTTGAAACTGAACGAACTTAGCTTGTTTCTCAATACAAGATTCTACTACAGCCTTGCTCTTATCTTTATTCTTGCTGCAAGATACAGATTGTAGAGCTGCCTGCTCAAACCTAGATATTCCCTTCTTAAAAGCAGAAGAAGTAGTACTCTTCTTACTAATCTATGCAGATAAAGTTAATAGTAATCTCTTTGAGTATTGCAATTATAATTAGTTATGAAACTTACAATATTCTATAGATATTATTTTCTTAGTATAAAAGAAACTTATTTAATCTGATTATATGCAATATCTTTATTCTATATAAGCTTATATTAAGCTTTAATAATATGCTTAATATTAGCATTAGAGTTAACTTGAGAATCTATCTTAATTATACATTGAAAGCTGAATTAGTAAAATGAATGCTAATGCTACAAGAAGAATAATAATTAGTATATACTCAAATCTGATTAAGAATATTAGAATGAGAATCTTACTTATATATTGCGCTCTTTAATACAAGAGAAGTTTTTAATATAATTATACTTAAACTCTGTATAATAAATACAGTTGCTATACTTCTCATTAAAGAAGCTTTCCATTGAGATGCATTCTAGGAAAGGCTAGTTAACATTAATCTGCTGCTTCTGAACAAGCATACAAGCAGTAATGTATTAATAGAAGCAGCAATTGCAAGGAACTAGATTATACTGATTATAGAACTAAATGAGAAGGGAATTTACTTGCTCAGATTAAGAGAAGATGCAGATAAGATACTCGCTAAAGAACTTCCAATCAGCTTTATATACTATAATAGGATTCAGTTTAATAGAATTCTTATTATTCAGTGTCAGGTGGAAAGGTTGCAAAGGCAATGTGGCGAGGTCTTTCTCTCTTTCAGGGGCATACAACCAGAATAACATTGAGGCCTAAGGAGCTAAGTTCTGCTCAGCAGTGCTGACGTGGCTAGAAAGCCGCTTTATAGCCGCATATTGCTTAGTCATCCGTAATCCAGCTGGCTTAGCTGGCCCTGAGCCTTGCTGGCACAATCGGCCCTGACAGATTGTCCCCCCTTATCAGGCCTTGTCCTCAAGGCCTTTGAGGCTTCCGAGCTTTCGTTGCTTCCAGGCTTCCGTTGCTCCCAAGCTTCCGTTGCTCCCAAGCTTCCGTTGCTTCCAGGCTTTCGCTGCTTCCTAGCTGCTCCTACGCCTTCTCAATGCTTCAGGCTCTTAAGATCTCTCAGTGCTTCAGGCTTCTCAAAGCTTCTCAAGATCCCTCAGTGCTTCAGGTTTCTCAAAGCCTCTCAAGATCTCTCAGTGCCTCAGGCTTCTCAAGGCCTCTCAAGGTCTCTCAGTGCCTCAGGCCTCTCAAGGCCTCTCAAGGTCTCTCAGTGCCTCAGGCCTCTCAAGGCCTCTCAAGATCTCTCAGTGCCTCAGGTTTCTCAAGGCTTCTCAAGATCTCTCAGTGCCTCAGGCCTCTCAAGGCCTCTCAAGATCTCTCAGTGCCTCAGGCTTCTAGGCCTCTCAAGGCCTCTCAAGGTCTCTCAGTGCCTCAAGCCTCTCAAGGTCTCTCAGTGCCTCAGGCTTCTCAAGGCCTCTCAAGATCTCTCAGTGCCTCAGGCTTCTAGGCCTCTCAAGGTCTCTCAGTGCCTCAGGCCTCTCAAGGCTTCTCAACCATCTCCCTCCTTCTCTTCTGGCTTCGTCCCCGAAGCTTGTGAAAAAAAAATCTCTTTTTAATCACATTCCAGACGTAAGTCTTCCGAGTGCAATACCCGCGCCATATACGCTGCTCAGTTGCTGCTCCCTCAGCGCTTTATCCAGGCACTCTTCAGAACTTAAAGCTGTTTGATGTAGGTTGCAAGCCTTCCACCAGGGACTTGGTTTGCAGCCAAGGAGCCCAGCATCCAGAACAGCGTCCCTGCAGCTATAACGGATAATTATAGCTTTCCGTCTTGAGAGTTGCTCTCTAGCAACTCTGAAGCCGTTGCCACGCTTCGCTCCACTGCTAGGCGCAGAAGGGTAATTGGTTTGCAACCTAATACCCAAGCAACTTCAGTTGCCAAGCGGACACTCCGCTTCAGCTCTGCGCTCTCGCTCAAATAGCAAAGAGCACACTCTCGAAAACAGAAGATACTCAGATCTACTGCTTGCTCACTCTGCTCTCTCGCTCGAATAGCGAAGAACACACTCTCGAAAACAGAAGATACTCAGATCTACTGCTTGCTCACTCTGCTCTCTCGCTCGAATAGCGAAGAACACACTCTCGAAAACAGAAGATACTCAGATCTACTGCTTGCTCACTCTGCTCTCTCGCTCGAATAGCGAAGAATATACTTTCGAAAACAGAAGATATTCAGATCTACTGCTTGCTCACTCTGCTCTCTCGCTCGAATAGCGAAGAACACACTTTGTTCTAGCTTAGCAACTCGAATGCTCTGAATCTCTTCTGAACGCTTCTCGCACGCTGCTTGCATACTGCTTGCTCGCTATTTGCTCTAGCTTAGCGACTCGAATGCTCTGAATCTCTTCTGAACGCTTCTTGCACGCTGCTTGCATACTGCTTGCTTGCTGTTTGCTCTAGCTTAGCGACTCGAATGCTCTGAATCTCTTCTGAACGCTTCTCGCACGCTGCTTGCATACTGCTTGCTCGACACTGCTTGCTCGCTGTATGCTCTAGCTTAGCGATTCGAATGCTCTGAATCTCTTCTGAACGCTTCTCGCATGCTGCTTGCATACTGCTTGCTCGACACTGCTTGCTCGCTGTATGCTCTAGCTTAGCGACTCGAATGCTCTGAATCTCTTCTGAACGCTTCTCGCATGCTGCTTGCATACTGCTTGCTCGATACTGCTTGCTCGCTGTATGCTCTAGCTTAGCGACTCGAATGCTCTGAATCTCTTCTGAACGCTTCTCGCACGCTGCTTGCATACTGCTTGCTCGATACTGCTTGCTCGCTGTATGCTCTAGCTTAGCGACTCGAATGCTCTGAATCTCTTCTGAACGCTTCTCGCACGCTGCTTGCATACTGCTTGCTCGCTGTTTGCTCTAGCTTAGCGACTCGAATGCTCTGAATCTCTTCTGAACGCTTCTCGCACGCTGCTTGCATACTGCTTGCTCGATACTGCTTGCTCGCTGTATGCTCTAGCTTAGCAACTCGAATGCTCTGAATCTCTTCTGAACGCTTCTCGCACGCTGCTTGCATACTGCTTGCTCGACACTGCTTGCTCGCTGTATGCTCTAGCTTAGCGACTCGAATGCTCTGAATCTCTTCTGAACGCTTCTCGCACGCTGCTTGCATACTGCTTGCTCGACACTGCTTGCTCGCTGTATGCTCTAGCTTAGCGACTCGAATGCTCTGAATCTCTTCTGAACGCTTCTCGCACGCTGCTTGCATACTGCTTGCTCGCTGTTTGCTCTAGCTTAGCGACTCGAATGCTCTGAATCTCTTCTGAACGCTTCTCGCACGCTGCTTGCATACTGCTTGCTCGCTGTTTGCTCTAGCTTAGCGACTCGAATGCTCTGAATCTCTTCTGAACGCTTCTTGCACGCTGCTTGCATACTGCTTGCTCAACACTGCTTGCTCGCTGTATTCAAGGCTCGAAAGCTCGAAAATCGAAGGCTCGAAGGTCAAAGGCTCGAAGGTTAAAGGCTCGAAGGTCAAAGGCTCGAAGGTCAAAGGCTCGAAGGTTCGAAAAGAATAGTGGTCTGATCGTTTGCTCTGCTCCTGCTCAGTGTTAGCGCTGCCCCTAGGGAAGAAAAAAAAGATAGAAAGCCTCGCCGGATTGCCTCCTTTAAAAGGGCCAGGCCTCAAACTGTCAGGTGGAAAGGTTGCAAAGGCAATGTGGCGAGGTCTTTCTCTCTTTCAGGGGCATACAACCAGAATAACATTGAGGCCTAAGGAGCTAAGTTCTGCTCAGCAGTGCTGACGTGGCTAGAAAGCCGCTTTATAGCCGCATATTGCTTAGTCATCCGTAATCCAGCTGGCTTAGCTGGCCCTGAGCCTTGCTGGCACAATCGGCCCTGACATTCAGTCTTACGAAATGAGCAGCAAAGCTAGAGCTTAGCAGTAAGTTGTTTCAAAACATAATATTGCCTTAGATATCCCAAGAAGCATATATTAAGCTAAGATCTCTCTTAATGATATTGAAATCTGTAATATTAAGAAAGTTAATATGAATATTCTTAAGCTAGTGATAATTGCTGCTCTGAGAAGAAGAAATCAAAGAAGAAAACTAGATTCAGATCTTATTAACTTCTTAAGAAGCAGTATTTATATGCAAAGAGAAAATAGCATTAGTAATAATTCGAAATATCTTGAGCATATTGCAGAGCTGAGCAAGGGAAGATTGATAGGAGGAGAAGTTGTTATGCAAAGAATGAATTGAAAGGCAAGGTGAACTGAGAGAGAGATTGTTGAATAGATTGCTAAAGATTAATGAAATAGCAATGAATAACAAATATATTCAACTGAGTTACTATGCTTTCTATCCAGTTTGTTGCTAAACAGCTCCTACCTAGCTAAGAGTAAAGCTGTTTATCTTATAATAAATAGAAAGCAGTGAATTACTTGAATAGTTGCTAGATAAGATAAATTAGCTATTCCATCTATACTTGCAGCTAGCTATTCTTCTTCCTCCTTCAATCTCTTTATAACTATCTTTCTCAAGTATATATACACTCTTTTTCTTTCTTATTAATACTATTTCAGATCTATATACTAATATCAGAGCAAATTATCAACTACTCTGCTTATATAATATCATCTTCCTTAACAGATCCTCAAGCTAAAGCTGCATTCTTCTCTATTTTTCTTTCTTAGTTAATACTCTCTCGGTTCCTTGATTTTATATCTTTGCAAACTCCTCTTGCAATTGCTTACCTTTCAACAAAGCTATTCTTCCCTTTTTACTTTTCTTTCAACTCAGCAGCAATAGCCGAATTCAAGTATTCTCTGTTTCCACTTATTCAGCATAGCTGAAGAAACTGGATAATCAAAGCCTACTGCTTTCAGACTATCTTTCCCAGAGCGCTATATCCAACTGAAATAATCAAGAATCATTCGCTCTATTTCAGTCTAAGGAATAAAGAAAATCATCTAGCAGCAGAACTTATTAAGAAATACTTCCCAGAGTTACTCTCTTGCAAGTTATACTTGCTTATAATCTTCAGCATTAATTCTTCCAGATACTTTTTTAATATCTATAATCTAATTGGATTCTTAGATACAGAAGTCTCTCAAGATATTAATTCGCAGCATGCTATAGCTGCCTTTCGTTATTATACTTAGTATAATTAATAAGATGTATTCTTGATAGAATGCCTTCGTATTCCATTAATAGCTTATTCATCTAGCTTTTCTAATATTCTCAATAAGCAGAATCTGCTCAGATATAAAGCTAGATAGAAGCGCTTATAGATTTTCCTCTCAGTTAATATAGCAATTTTAGCTTATACTCTATCTTAGCTTAATATAAAGATTGAAAAAGGATTTTATATTGCTATGTACAAATCCAGCAATATTCTACTAGCTTATGCAAGCAAGCACTATCTGAATAGTTAGCTCAGAAATGCTAGAGCTAATTAGGATTGGGATTTCGAGAATATTCCAACTATGCTGCTAGATAATAATTTGAATGCAGCTCTGCTTTATACAATCGAACTGTTTTGCCTTCGAATCCTGAAATCTACTGATTTCTATTAATTATCTAGTAGCTGTTCAAACTGAAGGCAAGCTCTCTATCTTAACTATAGAGAGACTGTATAAAATGTAAAAGAATGAAATGCAGAGATAGCTATAATAAGCTTGCATTGCTAAGCTTTCTTCTATAAGCTGAGATATAGCAACTATATGCAATATCCTAATCAGCTATTAAGAAGGAATGCTTTACTTTAAGAATACAAAGCTGTATAAGTAAAAGCTAGTAGGATATTGAATATAATCTATAAGCTGAATATTATCTTCTTCATAAAAGGAGTTGCAGACTTGCTTGAACTGTTTATTGAAAGCGATCTCGATAGGATGAGGAGAGATATATCAGCTTTTGCTCTGAAGGATTTCAGAGCGAGTAGAGCATTCAGCCTAGTTCTATTAAGACAACAGTTCCGAAAGAGCACAGCTCTAGCTAGCTTAATCTTGCATTTATTAAGAGAATGTAATATTAGCTCAGAGTTAAATCAACTCCCATCTGGAACTTCTATTGATTCTTACTTCTCTTCATCTTAAGGAATGCTTATTAGTTCAGAACTAATAATCAATCTATCAATGCAGCAAATAGCTAGGCCTGGATGTGCTACTGAAGCTTTATTGCATCAGAGACTGAGAAGCAGCAACATCATGCTTCTCAGTTTTCCTAATAAACTTCAGAAGCTTTATATGCTTTTATAGAATAAGCTTTATAGCCTTAACTCTATCAGGCTCTTAGTAAGTTCTCCGAACTGAATAGGATTTGATTATGCTATTAAGATAGATATGTATAAAGCGGACTGCGAAAGAATTCGTTGAGTAAGAATGCAGAATTAGGAGAGAACTGCTGCTGCTGCTGCTGCTTGAGCAGAGTTTGAAAGCAAACAGGAACAGAGAAGAGATTAGCATTAGAATCTATTCAGATTATACTCATATTACAAATGAAC